ATGGCTGGTGAGGCACTGGCACTGACTCTTCAGGTTTACAAATATTATATTTTGACCTAAACCAAAATATAATATTATTTTCAAAAGCTTTTTTTGTCTGATGCTTCGATTAATTTTAAACAGACAGTTCAACAAAAGGATACCCAAAAAATGTAATTTTATCATTTAAATATTGAATTGTTCTCTCTTAGTAAGATCCCATTTTCAATAAAATGGCGGTCTTACCTTGACTTGAAGATGAAGTCCATTTGCCTATCCTTCTGGACAAACATTTCTATTACTTTTTTGTAAAAGTCCTCCTTATGTTCTTGTAGTTTCAAAAGTCTATCATAAATCTAATCCATAGATTTATGATAAAAAAATTATAAAAGTAGGGTAGACATGTGGATGTTATCCGGCTAATCAAAACGTGCATTTATCTAACAGGTACGTTTCCCACAGATCTTATTTCGAGCTATTTTCTAAAATCCTATGGAGAAATCTCATTGCTTTTTTGTCGAGGGAAGCCATGCGCAGCTTACTTCCTGGTTTTAGGACGCGTCACTGCAGCTCTCTCGTCTCCTCTTCACACAGCACACTTTTCGCGGCACACGTACTTACAGCCAATCAGCTCTGAATGATTTGAGATGACGTATGGTGGGGATGGTAGCTACGTGCCCCTCTGGTCATTATTTTTTTGCCACACACATTTCATTACAAAATACTCTGAGCATGCGCAGTGTAGTTTTTACAGTCACCGTTCACTTCACAGCGAGAGGAAGGGGCATCATCAGGTTTTGTCCCACATGGCTCTAAACAGCTCAATAGGCACACACTGTGACTGTAGACACACTAATTAGAAGAACACAGACTAAAACAGCAATGTACAGACGAATCAGATGATTAAACATGATCTTAAAATATATTTTATATATTTTTTTATTTATTTTTTTGCATTTTTGTAATCATTACTTGTAATACTTTCTGCTGACACTAGGTGGGGCTGTGCCCCACCTGCCCCTAATGACCAGTCGCCACTGCTTGTAATTGATTTGAGTATTTCGATGTTATGCTACTTCACACTTCTACTCCAATATAATTTGGAAGGAAATCCTGTACTTTAAAAATAAATCGTCATTATTTTCACCAGTTAGTAACAACTGAATGTCCCCATGGCGATAAATAAAGGGTCTTATTCCTCAATATAATATATCTAATCTAATCCAATACAATTATAAACCTTAACCAAATTGAAATGTTGCACACAATAACGCTTCATTAATTATAATCAATAGATATAATATGTATTATTATTAGGGCTGTCAAGTTAACGCGTTAATAACGAGTTAACGCAAAAAAAAATTAACGCCACTAATTATTTTAACGCGATTAACGCATGTGTATTTTTTGTCCTCGGCCGCCCCGTAGTTTCAGAGCGCATCGAGTTTAAAATACCATCTACAAGCTGATGCTGACAGCCCCGCTCCTGCCGCCCGCTTGTGGCAGACCACACTTCCACGCTCCCCGGCAGGCCCGGACTGGCCATCGGGAGGACCGGGAGGGTGTGTGTATGTGTGGCGCGAGCGAAGCACACCTTACGTGTTGTTGTTGTTGTTAGCATCTGGTGCTAGCTAGCTGCGCTAGCGGATATAAGGAGCTGTTTCAATGAAAACAGAGGAGCGACATGTCGCCGACAACTGCGCCGAGCACTTGACTTTATGCAGGTAGCCAGACAGCACACTCAGCACGGATAGTGCGCGCAACATGATTGCAGCGTCCAGGTAGCTCCCGTTCGAGCATATATGCCTTGAGCTGCACATAGCTCCAACGATCCATCACAGTGTCTGTACACACACACACACACACACACACACACACACACACACACACACACACACACACACACACACACACACACACACACACACACACACACACACACACACACACACACACACACACACACACACACACACACACACACACACACACACACTGTATTGTATTATTGTATGAGAGAGGTTCCAGGTTGAATTGAGGCGAATATTTGTAATGTTCAGCCCTAATTATTGTTCAAGAAAATGGCCAGTTTGCAAAATGAGTAGTAGTAGTTTTGGTGATTGAAATATATTTAATGCTTATACTTCTGTATTTTTACTTGTATAAGTATTTCTACACTGTATGTCTGTGTATTTCTTTATCTCTGTAATCCCTCCACACCTCGATAAGAGGATTAAACCTTCGCCATTAGTGTCAGTTTTGGATTTAACTGCTTATTTTGCTGAATGGACTGTATTTATATATCGCTTTATCCCGTCTTTACTTATCCTCAAAGCTTTTTTACATTCACACACCGTCGGCCATGCCATCAGGAGAAATGTGTGTATCTCTGCCAGCGATAGAGCCTGAGTCGCCCAGAAGTTATTTTTTAAAACGATCAAATCCAACCTTGAAACGCAGAAAGAAAAGCAAAGCAGCTGTCGTAATATATCTCAATAATTTGGCAGCAGTTGTGTGAGGAGGTTTATCTCTCGTGTGACGCCTCTCTCATTAATATCTTTCCATTCATTAAAGTTCACAGCCGGTTTTATCTCAGATGAGGTCATTTCATTTCACTCTGCTTATTGTTGTTTTCATC